GTATCGTCGTCCGACAGACTGACGGCGCCGATCGACAGCCAGCCGGCTCCTCGCGCGTTCGCGAGTTTCGTCGAGCGCGCGCGGCCTTGAGATCTAGGAGGATCGTCGCGCGATATCGTAAGATCGACCCGCGACAGCGGATAACTCCGGCAGGGGGAGCGGTGCTTTATTTTACGAGTTGCGCTTATTTCGGCTCCCGCAGGGCTACACACACACACACACACACACACACACACACACACACACGCACGCACGCACGTACACGGAAGCCGCGCACGGCGGACTTGTGCAGTGACCCACATTGTCGTTGCATAACGGGACGCCTTTCGAAATATTTGCGAGTTTAGTGCCTCCGGCTACGTCGGCGGCGGCGCTCGTAAAAGGAACCCCCGCGGTCAACGGGGGGAGCCAGACGCGGCTGGGGTGTCGTAGGCGCGCGTGAGACCGTTTTTCGACCGGCTCGGCTGTCGAGTACGCAGGCTGCAATCGCGCGAGGATCTCTCGGCCGAGGATAATTGACATGAAAGATTTCGCAGGCAGACAGACACGGCGCTCCTGACGGCGCCGATGGATCTTGTTCGCCGCGACAAACAAAATCCATCGGCGCAGGGCGGCCCCCGGGCGAATAAAACACGCATGATCGCGCGACATTAGCCGTTGTCTCCGGCAGAACGCGGTCGTATTGTTTTTTTGACCCGTAGTGACCAGAGTGTACAATGCTCCGAGTTGCACTGGCCGGGTAAAGTTTGCCGTTGGTAAGACGTCGGAAGAAATATTAGCCTGGACGGAACCTCCCGCGCGGAGGAAAGTTATCGCCAAGTTATGAGAGCCGTCAAACATACAAGTTAATGATTTATCGAGGAATTTATTTCATGAATCTAAGGTGACTGCGAGATACGTACTTTCCTCGGCGAGCGGACGTTGTTGTCGGCACACTCGGCTAGCCTTTCACCTCTTTCAGCATACGAATACGAATGCAGCATCGCGAGTGAATCTTACGTCGTGTCGCGATACACAAGTTCGCGCAGCGCCGGAAACTCGAGTGCGCCCGCGACATTTGTGCGGGACGCCTTAGACATCCCGCGCTTCTCTCTCGGCTCATATTAAGCCGCAAAGAGTGTTTTCGCAAAGAGTGAGAGCGTGATCCTACTTGTTTTGAGTTCGAATGAATTTCATACGCGTGCGTCTTGCGTTTTTCAGAAAAATTTACAGACACGCTGAACGACGAATCTGACATGTATTCGTCGCGTGCGTGTAAAAGTGTATCTAAATTTTACTCGATATGATAAGCAGAATGCGCAAGAGAAACGGGATAAACTTTCGAAGAAGACCCACCCCAAATTGCCATAAGTTTCATGCCAATATATATTTGTTGCCAATTAATATTATACATTTCCCCAGATTAATCTCTCATGCACGTGTATTTATGCGGTAAGAAATGAATATTTATCCTAACCTAACTAAACTTGAGCCACTGCAATGTAGTTGCTCCATCTTTTAATTTGAGGCAAAAACTGCGACATTTTTTTACACATTTTAATGGTGACAAATAAGTGTCTACAGTGTGCGGGAAAAGTAGCGTAATGTTATCAACGTTCTTTAAATCTTTTTGACATTAAATTTGTCTGTTGGTGTGGAAGTCCATTCCGTTATTTATCTGAAATCGTTTGAAGTACTTTCACCAATATGCATATTAATAGAATGTGATTTTTAAAGGTTCTCCGTGAAAAGATTTGGAGAGAATGTAAATTCGGAAAAGAATAATAAGAAATGTTTACACTTAAACTTGACCCGTTTCGTCATTTTGCGAACGAGACATTTTTCAACGATATCGCAGCAGCGCTCATATAAGAATAGTATCGGACTCGCCTCGGTCATTTATTAGCCGATCCGACAGGCGCGCGTTGATCCGCCGTTAGAAAATTCTCGTGAGCGAGCGAGTAAAAGTTCTTACATTTGGTCGATTTATGCCGCGATATTTATTATCTCTGGCTACTGCTTTGTTTGTCTCGCGTCGCGAACTCTGCCGATATTTGGTCAAGTTTCACGATCATATACGGCATGGATCTTAGCTGAGACGCGAGTCCTGGAAGGGGCTGGCGGATTCAGTCTGCAGCCAAGTCGCCCGATGGTAGCATCGGCTAATAAACGATCTCGTAAACGTCGCGCCGCGAACGTCGCCGACGTCGAATTGGCTTGATGCGATATGACTCCTTCGACCTCGTTGCAAAAATAACGCTACCATTGCCGAAGTAGCGAGCTCTTTATAAAATCTCACGTTTGTTTGGCTGCCTCGCGTACAAAATATTTCTATCTTTGTTCAGGTTTAGGTTCAGGTTCAGGTTCAGGTTATCTCGACGACCTGATCTTTCGATTAAAAACTAAAGATTAGTACAACACCCTGTATTAAAAGAAAAGAGAAAAAGAAAAGAAAAACAAGTGTATAGGCAAATAATCGTGGGACGGATGGAAGAGTAAATATTTCAATAAAAAACGCGTCATTACACACCAAGCATTTTATAATAATAGTTATTCATAATAAGGAAACTCACGCGAAGCTTTACGAATAATTTTCGCTCGTTGTTTGTGATTTATGCAGGCGGTAGCAATCATAATCAGTGCCACTTACTGTTGAAACCGATAAATAAAGGGAAACCAACAAAAGTTGCGAGCGAGTAAAATTTCTCATTTACATCAAGTGAATGAAAACAACACTGACGACGTTGGAATAAAAAAACTAGCTTTTCAATAAGCAATGTATGCCTGGACACAACAAAGTTCACAATAAAGTCGTGCCGCGAACGTCTATGGTCTGGGCCTAATGGGCTGTCAAAAACACCCAACTCGAATAAGTGCTGGTGATGAGACTTGGCCACACTTTCTCATCTGAATTTCTTTCTGAACTTTCACACACGAACCGACAAGGAAGATATTTATGCAAAAGAACAACGCACGATTCTGTTGAAGAAAAAGATCCCTTTTTAGTAAATAGCTGTGTATCCACACGAGTTTGGATACCCGGCTAGTACCTGTGACTTTACACAGATACTGCTCGAATGTCCGGATATGGAAATACTCGGTTCATACTGACAGCGTTACACATTATGAATAATAAAGCAAAATCATTAATAAAGCACCTCGTTTAAGTTTCAATACGAAACAGCGTAGCAACATTACATATCTCTCTCGACGTGTTCGCCAACACGCGCACCGAAAAAGGACCGTTGCATTGCGGGAGGACGCTGCATCCCTTCGCAGCGCTACGCGAAAATGAGAGCCAGCGCCATAATCGTAAACCAAGGTACATCTGCATGCGCGCGCTAACGAAAAGCCCATAAGTACGACTATGCCCTTCTGCTCGGGAATCCAGCAGGAAGCGCGCGCGTGCGCCAGAAAGAGAAAAATTAAACAAAAAGGAAAGAGAAGCAAAAAGCCACGGCCAGCCTCGTTAATATCCGATCCGCGGGGCGAGCTCGGCTCGCCGGTACGACAGACGACCGCCGGTGAATCGGGCGTCGGTGCACTTTTAATTGACAGGAATGTTTAGCGGTAATGAACGCGCGCCGAGTGGAAGGAGCGAAGGATAAGCCGGGAACGTATACCGACGGTAGCCAGTAGTGGCGTCGTCGTCGTCGTCGTCGTCGTCGTCGTCGTCGTTGGACGACGACGACGACGACGACAGGAGAGAAACAGCGCAGCGCCAGGGCCACGACTAGATAGAGACACGGCGGCAGGAGCATAAACATCCTCGGCCCCCGGTGGTGGCGGCTACGGCGACGGCGGCGGCGGGGGTGCAGCGCGCACGTTCCGCACCGTGGGCGTCGCCGTTTGGTTCCTACCACGACGGCAGGGATGTTCTATGACGCTATAGATCATGCGGGCTCCGCCCGTGGGCGGAGACTGCACGCCAGTTGGATACGTCAGTGCAGTTTGCCCCGCAGCGTTGCCGGTTTCGCCGGCATTGCCAGCTCCTCCAGCGGTGCCCGCCAAAACGTGCTAAACGGAGTCGAGGGAGAGACAGAGACAGCAAGAGTGAGAGAGAGAGAGAGAGAGAGAGAGAGAGAGAGAGAGAGAGAGAGAGAGAGAGAGAGAGAGAGAGAGAGAGAGAGAGAGAGAAAGGGGCAGCCCTGAATGCTGGATTATTTCTGGAAATATTTTCGCAGGGATTTTTCGGCTTTGAGCAGGACTCGGCTAAAAGGGGCAAGAAGATAGCTCAGATATGACGGGACGGTAAAAAGGTTTAGCAAGAGTTGCCTCAGGAAGATGTTTCTCGTGCGAATATGACATAGGAATATGATCGACTCTTGGAAGTTGACGTGTTACTCTCGCGACCTTTTTCATACGCGATAAATGCTACTTTGCACATGAGCATGTACGATGTTCATCAGTTCATCAGATTTATTGGAATCGATAAGAGTGGAGGTTTCGCAAACTCCAAACAGTGTCGTTTTTGAAAATTGCTCTCACTGGTGTTGTATAAGTTACGAGGATTCACGAGATAACGCAAAGTAGGTTACACGCGTCTTAAAATATTATAGCATTATCGGAGATTATAATTTCTAAGAACATTTAGCAAGCACATGGATTGTGCATCCAGCGGAAGGCGATGCCAAGTTAGCTCAGCATTGTGCTACTAATAGCCGCAAGCTTGCGCCGAATGTTTTTCCTCCTTTAGATTACATTTGCCTACACTCTGCGCGACGCAGTATGCATTTACTAAGTGTATTTTTAGCGGACCGGACGAAAGGACATTCACATTTGCCAATATTAGTGCAACATTAGCTGATCACTGCACTAAAGTTAAGTAGAGCGTTGTTACGGCGGAGCTACCTTCTCCACCGGACGCAGCTAGCCTCTGTGTGTAGGTATTGTGCGTTTTTGAGGTTAAGTTAGGTTAGGTTTCGAAATATTGAGATTACGCTCGACGACGGCACTCGCCAGAGTCAGCTCGGGGCTCGCGGTATCAGGCCGCTGAGGGACAATGTCGATCGGGTACTCACCTCAATCAGCGGCGCCTCGGATACGGTTTAATCAGCGAGAACGGCGAGAGATCCTCGGCTTGCCTTCGCGTCGCCGTAGTACCGTAGTTCATTGCGCAACAGCGCCTCTAGCGGCGGCAATCGGGAATTACCGAGAGCTGAAACGACGTCTCCCCGTGCACCTCCCTCGCGCGGGCCGATATAGTCGAGAGCCCCGCCCCCTTTTTCGACCTCCCCTCGTGCGCGCGAGCGCTTCTACGGTCACGCGGCTTCTGTCTCGACGGGCTTTTTTCGCCGTGCGAACGGATCCTTCCTCCAGCGGCTTCCTCTCGCGCGCGCATACTTTCGGCCTGAGAAATTTCGTCCAGTCCGCGAGGCTGCCGCGGAAGGAGCGCGGCAGCCGGCAATTTCGCGGGATTCCCCGCGTGCGGTGGACGCGCGTGGGTGCCACGTCACGGCCACGTTGCAGCGGGCAGCACATCCGCCAGCGTCTGGTGCATCCGCAGACGAGAGTGGCTGGCTTTTGCGCCGCCGCCGGCGCGGCGAGCCCCTCGCGCCGCGCCGCGCCACGCCGCGTCGCGTCGCGTCGCGTCGCGTCGCGTCGCATCGCATCGCGTCGCGTCGCGTCGCGTCGTGTCGCGTCGTGTCGCGTCGGTTTCGCTCATTCACTCCGGTACACTTCACCCCGGTGGATGTCCCACCGTCGATTCCTTCCTTCCCGCACTCTTCTCCCACCTTCCTTACCGCGGCCTCCGCGGCCCCGCCGGTTGCCTCGTTCGCGGATCGCGCGCCGCGGACGCGATCGCGGCCGCGGAGGAGAGAAAGAACGAGGGCGACGGAAAGCGGGAAGGAGAGAGGTCGAGCGAGCGCGAGTGAGGCCAGCAAGGAAGAGCAGGCGAGCGAGGAAACGAGAACGGGCGGCGGAGGAGTTGGAGGAGGTATAGATAGTGGAGGAGGACGAGGAGGTGGAGCGGGAGGGGGTGGAGGAGGAGGAGGGGGAGGGAAAGAGGACTACTACTACTCCTGGGGTCCCCCCACCACACGGCCTGCCGCCGCGACGCCAGTCCGTAGTCAGTCAGCGCTGGACCGCCGCCCGCTCGATTTCGCGATCCACGAACGACGGTAGCCTCCACCTCCACCTCCTCCCCGCTTCTTTTCCGCTTGCTGCGCTCTGGATCTTTCTCTCTCTCTCTCTCTCTCTCCCTCCCTCGCTCTCTCTCTCTTTCATATATTGTCTTTCTCTTTCTTTCTCTTTCTTTTTTTTTTTCCTGTTGTTTTTCTCCCGCGCGTCTCTTTCTTCTCTTTCGTCCGTTCACTCTCTGTTACCGCATTTTCTCGCTCTTTATCTATCGCATGTGGTTTTATCTCGCTTGTTCTATTATCGTCTTGTATCCGATTATCTACTTTTTTTTCTTTCTCCTTCTCCCACCTTTCTATCTCTTCCCCCCCTCTCTCTTTCTCTCTCTCTCTCTCTTTCCACCTGTCCGTCTGTCTTTCTATCATTTCTCTCTCTCTCTCTCTCTCTCTCTCTTTCTCTCCTCTCTTTCTCTATCTTCTCAGCTTGAAATCTTTTGGTACTCACATACGCACCGTGCGCGTCTCGAGTGGACGCGACACGTTGTCGCGGATACACAGCACACACGTTGCCGCAAGAGGTTATCGCGCGATTCTCAGGATCTGCCCGAGATCCAGCCGCGGAATAATCGCCGGCGCGATCCCGACAGCGGTCATTGACGAGCGCGTCGCGTTACGGTGTGATCGGCGATCGGTTGGCAAAGTGACGAGTGACACTGATGATTGCTTGCAGAGAGAAGTGGTGAGAGAGAAGGAGAGAGAGGGGAAGAGAGAGAGAGAGAGAGAGAGAAAAGCCAAGGGTTGGTGCACACAGATTGTTGAGATGGTCCTCGCTTCGGAGTAGCTCGCTCCGCCGAGTCGAATAATCGCGATAATCGCGCGCGATTTCAGTGTATCGAGATTGTCAGTTGACGCTAGTCCTCACGGAGGAGGATGTAGTGGACGATAGTCGACATTTGTATTCATACGGCGCAGCCGTGAGCGCGCTGTGACGCGGAGTGACGAGTCATCGACACTGCTTGGCACCGAAATGGCGGCGCGCGACTGCAAATGACTTGGCGACAGTGACAACAACTTTGCGTCTCCAGCACGCACGAGGCCGCCTGCTCTCCGCCTCCGCCGATTTGTCTCGTCGCGTCCATCTCGCGTGCGTGCGTGCGCGCGCGCGCGCGCGAGCGAGCGAGCACAAGCACACAGGGGGGTGCACAGGTGCGCCGTACGAGGCGAGTCTCGCATAGGATCATGACGATCTCCAGGATCGCGCCGCTCGCGACGACCAGCGGCTCGTCGGCGACCACGATGAGGTAGTGATCGTCGCTTGGACACGTGCTGGTTGGGTTGGGTGGAGCGCAAGTGTGCAACGCAAGAGGCGGCGGACTATCGCAGGTGGTTATCCCGGAGGGAGGTAGTCGGAGGGATACTTCCGGTGCTCCGGACCGCCTGACTGTGGTTGGGGACCAAGCGATATCGCGCGCAGCCAGGGCAGCCAGGAGAACTGGAGGTCGTACGGATAATCGAGCATCCCCGAAGGACGCAGATGCCCCGAAGGAAACAGCACGCACCGCAACGCATGAAATGTGAGTCGTCATGTGGCAGCGCGCGCGCGCGCGATGTAGGAAGTCGTTAAACGGAGAGCGAGCCGAGCCGAGCCGAGCCGAGATCGGCTCGAGCGAAGCGCACTTGTCTCGAAATTGATGACCCGAGCGCAATCGGAGACGCCAGTTGCGCTCGGTCGCGAAACAATGTCATTCGGAAGAGCGGTGAAGAGAATCGTCTCAGCCGGACTCGGTGTCGGCGTCTTTCGCGCCGAGGCGGACGGAATTGTTCGCGAGTGACAAAGTCCGATGGAGAGGTCGGCGTTTCACCGTCGCTGATTCGCCCACGAGTTTCGCGGAGCCACGTGGAACACCACGTGGAATGGCGCGTGATTTCGGGGGTAATCGCGGGCAATTCCGCGCGCGCGGCATTATCCGTTTATTTTCCTGCCGGATAATCCGTGCCGTGCTTGTTCAAGCGACTATTTGACGTGCGCGCGCGCGCGCGCGCGCACGCACGCACGCACGCACGCACGCAAAAATGCGATCGATGCGAGCGCACGGCTGGTGGTTAAACCACTGACGATCGTCGCACGATCGTCGGCCGGTTACGCTCAAGCGAGATCGTCGACGCGCGCAGCAGCGGCGATTTACCGCATTTCTGCAGCGCGTATTTATGGATTAATTAAAAGGAAGAAAATGTCTAGGCGATCGTAAGGGAGCTTCCATAAAGTCGTAGAATGTCTTTTACTAGCAGTTTGGCGTTCGCGCGTACCTCCGCGCCGGAGTTCCTAAGTTACCGGCGCTGTCGTGCGCCGCTGGAAATTATCGCGCGGAGAACTTTTAATGTGACGATTGAAGAAATAGAAAATATCTCTCTCCCTCGCCGCTCCCTGCATCCTTCCCGAAGCGCGCAAAGTTCGCGACTAATTCAGACGGCAGTTTTTTTCCATCGAGTTTTCTCGAAATCTCTTTCCGATAAGATCGCCCGAGTGACACGTGTCGACGACACGTATCGGCGATGGTCTCAAATTGTGCGCTGTTTCATTATTGCTAACTTGCGCGGCAGACATTGAATAATTTCAATATGCAGCGCTTGAAATAAGAGACGCAGAATATGTCTGTTAGTCGGTCAGGTTACCATCTTTTCGGCTTGAAATCTCGCCGTTGAAATAAGATGATGCATGAGACGTAGCTATATAAGAAGAATCGATTTTTAATAATATTTTTACCCCGCCATTTTGCGGTCGAGCTGTAAGATGTATGAGGTGGGGCGAAGGTGTAATTCCAAATCGCGAAATTGCCAAAGTGCGAAATGGGTCGTCTCTTTTTCTTCCCCTCTCTCACTTCCTCGGATAATCTCGAGGAAATTGACAACAAAATAATTAATGCGTCGACACTAGAATGGACAAAATTGCGGGCCTCCTCGCATTGGAATGGCTGAGATATATAGTTTTACAGCCATCCCCCGTTCCGCAGACACGGGATACACCCCAGATCTCCGCCGCAATTCGGTTCATTCGACTACTTTATCGGTCTCCTTCCGCAGCCTGTTTCTACCAGTCTCCTTCTGCCTGTTTCTACCAGCGTCGATTAAACCCCCCGTAACTCGAGTTTAAACTCTATTCAAAGACTTGAACTCAGATTAAAGTTTAACCGACGCTGATAGAAACGGCCATTAGAGGATCGCGCAACGCTCGGCAATTGACTCGCGTGCAAAATAGACACCCTTTACTTATCCGTCGCACGCGTCGCGCGCGTGAACTCTGGAAACATCGCCGAGGTAATCTACTATTGCGATCAGTTAGTTACCCTTTTCGTCGAGGCCTAAGCGGCCTAAACGTCTTCTCTCTCTCCCTCCCGTGTCGGCGCGGCAGGTAAAATTCGAAAGCGCCGAGGGCCCTCGGTCGCGGAGAGAGAGAGAGAGAGAGAGAGAGAGAGAGAGAGAGAGAGAGAGAGAGAGAGAGAGAGAGAGAGAGAGCGAGTCCGAGGACGGCTGGCTGGCCGAAGGCGAGCGCAACGCCATTGCGCCGTATCGGCCGACAGATGGGCAGAACGGCCTCGGCGTCAGGCCGAGGCGATTTGTGCGTTTGCGGCCGTGACGGGCGCGCCATGCTGCCTTTCCCACGTGGAGAATCATGAGGCGTAAACAAACTCGCCCCCGCCGGCCGGGCGGGCGGCGGGGGAGTCGCCATCTTGGTGGAGTTTTGTGCCGGAAACATTTACAATTCACTCAACTTGCCTTACCGAAACTCGGCCAAGCGCCGATAAATCTCGTGCGCCCGCGCGGCGGCGGCGGCGCGGCGCGGCGCGGCGCGGCGCGCCGATGCCCGCCGCACGTACATAAATCCCGCGGCAGTCCGCGGAGCTTCGCCGGCCGCGTGTGTGCCGCGCAGTTTTCCGCCGCGCTTCCGGCCTCGTCTCGGGGCCTCCTTCCGAGTCTCTTCACGTTCCCGTCGATGCTGCGCGCGGCTGCGGGAAATTGCCTCTCAACCGGCTAGCCCTGCTGCCGGCTAGCGTGCCCTCCGACGCCCTCCGCGTCGACCTCCTCGTCGATCGAGGGACGCTCTGGACGTCTCTGGAC